TCTAGGGATGCCATTTGGGCTTACCAATGCACCGGCAATCTTTATGGACTTGATGAACCGGATCTTCCGGGAATTCTTAGATCGTTTTGTAGTCGTTTTCGTGGACGACATTCTTATCTATTCACCTTCGGAGGAGGAGCACGAGGAACACTTGAGAGTGGTGCTTGAGTTGCTTAGAGCCCATAAGTTGTATGCTAAGTTTGGGAAGTGTGAATTCTGGCTAAGAGAGGTTAAATTCTTTGGCCATGTGGTATCCGGGGAAGGGGTGTCTGTTGATACATCCAAGATAGAGGCAGTGCAAGATTGGGCACAACCTAAGAGTGTTTTTGAGATCCACAGTTTTCTGGGATTAGCTGGGTATTATCGCCAGTTTGTGAAGGATTTCTCCAGGCTAGCTTCGCCGTTGACTAGATTGACGCGGAAAGGGGTCAAGTTTGTATGGAATGAGACTTGTGAAAAGTCGTTCCAGGAGTTGAAGGTTAGATTGACCACCGCTCTGGTTTTGATTATTCCTGAGAGAGGTTTGGTTATGCGATTTACTGTGATGCCTCACGAGAGGGTTTGGGCTGTGTGTTGATGCAAGAGGGAAAGTAGTAGCTTATGGCTCACGTCAGTTGAAAATTTACGAGAGGAATTACCCTACACATGACCTTGAATTAGCACCTGTGATTTTTGCCTTAAAGATTTTGAGGCACTACCTTTATGGTGAGAGGTTCGAGGTGTTCTCGGACCATAAGAGTTTGAAGTACCTGTTTACACAGAGGGACTTGAATTTGAGGCAGAGGAGGTGGATGGAGTTCATTGAGGACTACGACTTTGAGTTGCACTATCACCCGAGAAAGGCCAATGTTGTGGCCGATGCCCTTAGCAAAAAAATCCATTAGTGATGTAGCTTGTATAGCCATCCGGGAGTAGGAGATGTTGGGTGCACTTGGCGAGTTTGATTTGCTTTTGGGTGAATTTGTTGAGGCTACGGCCTTGTTTTCTGTTATTGCACAGCCTACACTGGTGATTCGAGTGTTAGAGGCATAGGGAGGTGACCTTGAGGTAGAATCCCTCCGAGAGAGGATTTCCAATGGGAAGGTTGAGAAGGGTTTGACGGTGTATCCCGACCAGAGTGTGAGATACCGAGACCGTTTGTTTGTGCCGGAGTCTTGTCGAGAGGAGGTACTCCGAGAGTTTCACCATTCGCGCCTTGCGGTGCATCCGGGAGGCCCCAAGATGTATTGAGATTTGGGTCGCCAGTTTTGGTGGCGGGGTATGAAGAAGGATGTGGCGGTTTTAGTGTCTAAGTGCCTTACTTGTCAACAAGTGAAGGCCGAACATCAGAGGCCAGCGGGTTTATTGCAACTCTTGCCTATTGCCGAGTGGAAGTGAGAGCATGTCACTATGGACTTCGTTGTAGGTCCTCCGAGGACTCAGCAGGGTAGTGATGCTATTTGGGTGGTTGTAGACCGGTTGACTAAGTCGGCGCACTTTATCCCTATGCACGTGAGAGATTCGGTAGACCATCTTGCCGACTTGTATATTCGGGACATAGTGAGGTTGCACGGGGTCCTAGTGACGATCGTCTTAGATAGAAACCCTCGTTTTACTACTAGGTTGTGGCAGAGTTTGCAGAGTGCCTTGAGCACTACGTTGACCTTTAGTACGACTTATCATCCTCAGACTGACGGGCAGTCCAAGCGTACTATCCAGATCCTTGAGGATATGCTTCGAGGTTGTGTCCTTGACTTTAGTGGGACGTGGGAGAGGCACTTGCCCTTGGTGGAGTTTTCCTACAACAACAGCTTTCAGTCTAGTATCAGTATGGCACCGTTTGAGGCCTTGTATGGCCGACCGTGTAGGTCTCCAGTTTGTTGGTCCGAGGTGGGTGATGCACCTTTGTTGGGCCCGGAGTTGGTGAGGGAAACGACGGAGAAAGTTGAGCTTATCCGTAGGAGGCTTGTTACAGCCCAGAGTCGCCAAAAAAGTTATGCCGACCGTAGGAGGAGGCCTTTAGCTTTTGAGACGAGTAATCATGTCTTTCTGAAAATATCACCTAGGCGAGGTTTGATGAGGTTTGGGAAGAGTGGGAAGTTATCCCCTCGGTTTATCGGTCCCTTTGAGATCCTTGAGAGAATTGGGAAGGTTGCATACCGTTTAACTTTCCCACCACAGTTGTCCGGGGTGCATGACGTGTTTCATGTTAGTATGCTTCAGATGTACGAGCCGGATCCGTCCCATGTGTTGGATTGGACCAACTTAGAGGTTGATGAGGATGCCTCGTATGAGGAGAGACCGGTTCGGGTCTTGGATAGGCGGGATCAAGTCTTGCGATTGTATTCCAGACTGGGTTTTGGAGTTGGTGGTTGATGAATCTTGTTTGCAATCCTTTAATATCCATATGTTGAGTTAGGATATGTCGGGCTGTTTCGAACAGGTAGGTTGAGTTTTGTCGTTCAACGGGTGTTGTGCCCAGAATATATTGGGTTACACTCGAAGCGGGAACGGTTTTCGGCGCTCGAGCGGAGTTCAATTTTTGGTTTAACCGCTCGAATGGAGTCTTATTGAGCCGTGAGCGGGTTTACACACTCCCAGTAATTTCGTGTGTCCCGTACAAAACTTATCGCATGTGTGTATTTTCACGCTCGATGCGGGTTAGTGCTTTGTCTGTGAAAGTCTTCTGAGAGGGGGAAATCTAACGCTCGAGCGAACTGTTTCGCGCTCAAGCGGATACGCCTGTATTTTATTCTTGTTGTCTTGGTGCTCGAGCGGGCATTCTGCGCTCGAGCGTGTCCAGATTTTTTTGTGCTAGACGCTCCGAGCGTTCTATTCTTTCGCTCGAGCGGTGCTAGAGCGTATATCAGTTGGCAGCTGGGCATTTTTGAATCACTTTTTACAACTTCCCCTCTCTCTTTACTTTCCCCAAAATCGATTTTGAGAGCTCCTCCTCTCAGAATCTCCTTCTTCACTAGGTTTGATCTAGCTTAGAGTGTCCCACTACTTGTTGTCTTTGCAAAAGGTGTGTTGAATCGTCTGAGGGCATTGTTTTGATGCGAAAAGTTTGGAATTTGGAGCACTTTGAGTTTGGTCTCCTTCTCATTTGAGCTCTAAACTTCGAGGGTAGGGATATCCTACTCCTCTTATGAGCTTTGTTCTTGAATTTTGCATTTTGATATGTTTGGGGGTCGTTGGGTAATTTTGTGGAAAGTTTTGGTCATTGTTGTAATTTTTCAAAAGATGGGGTTTCTAAACAATAATAAACCTTATATATGTATAAACATTGGAAAATGGACTCGTGTTGGTATTGTAAATTCGAACCGTTGGGTTTGTATTATTTGGAAAAAGCCCTAATTATTGATAAATTAATTTGTAAATATATTTTTGGGAATGAGAAATTGAATAGGAAAATATTCAATCGAAAGGTATGGAAATTTAAAGGGTGAGTTGGGAATTAATTTATCGCTCACCTAGACAAATGTTGAATGTTATCCATTTGATGCATTTATTTCCTGTTTAGAGATAACTTGCTTTGGCTAATCGGTGGAAGATAGTCCTGATTGTTGTAGACAAGTATGATGATTAGACTAACTAAAACTAATCATGGAATTGTGTCATTGAATAATGAACGGTGGAAATAATACATTAACCTTATGTATTGATTGATTGTGTGCATGATTAATTGTTTATATGCACTAGGTTGTGTGGGAGGAGATAGGGGATGTACTCCGCGGTTTAGGGGAAGATAGGGGATGGACCTCTAAACCAGAAGTTGTTTTTGCCATTGACAGCACTACAATGCGGATCATATGTGAAGTATGGAAGTATTTTTGTATATTGATACAACACTAAAATGTGTATCATTTGTAAGTATGGAAGTGGTTTTATGTGTTTGATACAGCACCAAAATGTGTATCCATCATGAATTGCGAAAGTATTTTTGAGAATGAGGATATAACCTCATTAAATTGCTTGGCCAGGTCTGAGTCTTGTTTTCGAACTTAAAGTTGAGTAAGGAATGGAAAATGTAATATGGCATGGTTGGAGTATAAGTGTGAACCATCTATCGAATGCTATCATTTAGTCATTGTTTATAGTTGGTTTAGTATATTTCTACTGGACTGGTGGCTCACCCTTATGGGACCTTATTTTCAGGTACATGTAGCATGCCACCTCCAAGGACGTAGCTTGGGAGGCTATTAGATTCTTTTGTTGTTTTGTTGTATTACATGTATATCTAGCCAAGGGCTTTCTTTGTATAGAGTTTAGCACTCTCTTTTTGTAACCAAGTGTTGACTTGGAAAGTAATAAGTCCATAGGGCATTTACTTTTGATGTCAACATGTCATACATTTTGGAGAAACGACAGAGAGG